TATATCTTTGCATTCAAATAGGCTCATATAAGAATGTATGGGCCTTTGGGGAGCCAGGGCACGCATGCTTTCTCCACCATGTTTCTTCTGCTGCTTCCCAATTACGGTGGGCTGGCTTGATGCCTCTGCTACTTTCAGGCTTTCCAAAAAATGCCTTGGCAGAGCCAGATATATTCTCTGCCAACCCTACAATTGTGCCCCTTCACCTGCCCGGTGAGATCGGCACTGCTGTTGCCCCGGGCTCAAAATGAGCTCCTTCCAACGTAATTAAAGGGAACGCTTCCAACAGCACCGACCCCCCTCCCATGGAAAACCACCTGTTGCCCCTCCCAGCTGATCTTTAATTACTACTGACACCGATCTGCTAATTGCTATTATTAATTATATTAATGACTGCTGTTTCCAGCCTCGAGTGGATTGTGCCGCTAAGGAGCTGAACTCTTCCTGAAATGAGCCATAAGACGCACGGCTTCCGGTCTTCCTCGACTGGGAAAAAGGACTAGGAAATGAGCGGGGTCGCCGGAAGACGACAGGAGGGTTGAAAGCACAAGATCTGATACACAAGATCTGGCCTTGGTCCTTTCCAAACGCTGCAGGGTAGGACTTCCAGAAAATGGGAAAGGTTCCTTTGGGGACTGCAACTCCTATTGGGGGATAATGCCTGGCTCGAGAGCAGTATGTGTGAAAAAGATCTTGGAGTCGTCGTGGACAACAAGTTAAACATGAGCCAACAATGTGATGTGGCGGCAAAAAAAGCCAATGGGATTTTGGCCTGCATCAAGAGGAGCATAGTGTCTAGATCTAGGGAAGTCATGCCCCCCATGCTCTATTCTGACTTGGTTAGACCACACCTGGAATATTGTGTCCAATTCTGGGCACCACAATTCAAGAGAGATATTGACAAGCTGGAATGTGTCCAGAGGAGGGCAACTAAAATGATCAAGGGTCTGGAGAACAAGCCCTATGAGGAGCGGCTTAAGGAGCTGAGCATGTTTAGCCCTAAGAAGAGAAGGATGAGAGGAGATATGATAGCCATGTATAAATATGTGAGAAGAAGCCACAGGAAGGAGGGAGCAAGCTTGTTTTCTGCTTCCTTGGAGACTAGGACGCAATGGAACAATGGCTTCAAACTACAAGAGAGGAGATTCCATCTGAACTTGAGGAAGAACTTCCTGACTGTGAGAGTTGTTCGGCAGTGGAACTCTCTGCCCCGGAGTGTGGTGGAGGCTCCTTCTTTGAAAGCTTTTAAACAGAGCCTGGATGACCATCTGTCAGGGGTGCTTTGAATGCAATATTCCTGCTTCTTGGGAGGGGGTTGGACTGGATGGCCCATGAGTTCTCTTCCAACTCTTTGATTCTATGATTCACCTGACATCTGCCGTGAAGTAGCAGCCAATAGTGAAAGGACCAAGGCAGTGACATCTCCAGCCCATCCCTTGTTTGAGTATCAGCCAACACGTGAATGACTTAAATCATGAAATAGTTTTCTAAGATTTACAGAGGCACTCGCTGAAACACCCCAGCAAGTGAGAGTCCAAATGTGGCAGGCTCAAACCCAGAACCTCAACCAATGGCTGATACCAAACGAGAGACTCCCCCCTGGGCACACAGAAGACTGGGCGACTTGGAAGGCACTGAACACACTGCGCTCTGGCACCACGAACTAGGGGTGCATATATATGTCATCAATAAATAAACTCCCAGAAATTCCAGCCAGTCTACCAGCTCTCTACCAGAAATCTCTACCAGAAATTCCAGCCAGTCTACCAGCCAGTCTACCAGAATTGAAGGCCAAAACTTCTGGGGACCCACACATAAACCACATAATTATGTCTACTAGCTCAATACAGGATCTCCAGATAGAGCATCCGCCTCTTACTTCCCCGGAGCCTGAGAGAGTGCAACTTGACCAAGATCACCCCAGAGGCTTCCCCTTCTGTGCAAGGATTTGTGCTAAAGTTTACTTACTTGTTTAAATACTTTTTATATTGCCCTATATTAGATGCCCCAGGGTCTTGCGTATAAAATGTTTTCTCTTGGTATAAATAACCATAACCATATGGTATAAATAACCATAGAGCTTCATCTATGCTGATGATCGTGCCATCACTGCTCAAGCAGGGAGTTTTGAGATGGTTGAATAGAAGCTCTCCGAAGCTCTAGGTGCTCTTACTGCCTATTACAGGGAAAACCAGCTGATCCCTAACCCATCTAAAACACAGACATGTGCCTTTCACCTTAAGAACAGACAAGCATCCCGAGCTCTGAGGATTATTACCTGGGAAGGAATCCCACTGGAGCATTGCAGCACCCAAATACATGGGAGTCACTTTGGACCGTGCTCTGACCTACAAGAAGCGCTGCCTGAACATCAAGCACAACGTGGGCGCTAGAAACAACATCATATGAAAGTTGACTGGCACAACCTGGGGATCACAACCAGACACAGTGAAGACATCTGCCCTTGCGCTATGCTACTCTGCTGCTGAGTATGCATGCCCAGTGTGGAACACATCTCACCACACTAAAACAGTGGATGTGCCTCTTAATGAGACATGCCGCATTATCACGGGGTGTCTGCGCCCTACACCACTGGAGAAATTACACTGTCTAGCCAGTATTGCACCACCTGACATCCGCTGGGAAGTAGCAGCCAATAGTGAAAGGACCAAGGCAGAGACATCTCCAGCCCATCCCTTGTTTGAGTATCAGCCAAAACGTCAATGACTTAAATCAAGAAATAGTTTTCTAAGATCTACAGAGACACTCGCTGAAACACCCCAGCAAGCGAGAGTCCAAAAGTGGCAGGCTCAAACCCAGAACCTCAATCAATGGCTGATACCAAATGAGAGACTCCCCCCTGGGCACACAGAAAACTGGGCGACTTGGAAGGCGCTGAACAGACTGCGCTCTGGCACCACGAGATGCAGAGCCAACCTTAAGAAATGGGGCTACAAAGTGGAATCCACGACATGCGAGTGTGGAGAAGAGCAAACCACTGACCACCTGCTGCAATGCAACCTGAGCCCTGCCACATGCACAATGGAGGACCTTCTTGCGGCAACACCAGAGGCACTCCAAGTGGCCAGATACTGGTCAAAGGACATTTAATCAACTACTAAGCTTGCAAATTCTGTGTTTTGTCTGTCTGTTTGTTTGTTTTTGTTACAGATAAAGCAAAAGGCTTTTCAACATTTGCTTATATCTGGATCCTGTGGTGCATTTTTAAAATATAAAACTACATAAAATATGTTCTTGTGGGTTTTTTCGGGCTATAGGCCCATGTTCTAGAGGCATTTCTCTGACGTTTCGCCTGCATCTATGGCAAGCATCCTCAGATGTAGTGAGGTCTGTTTGAATTAGGAAAATGGGTTTATATATCTGTGGAATGACTGGGGTGGGGCACAGAGCTCTTCCCTGCTGCAGCTAGGTGTGAATGTTTCAGCTGATCACCTTCATTAGCATTTGAAGGCCTGCCTGAGCCTGGGAAAATCTCTTGCTGGGAGGTGTTAATCTGTGCCTGGTTGTTTCCTCTCTGTTGTTTAGCTGTTGTAATTTTAGAGTTTTTTAATACTGGTAGCCAGATTTTGTTCATTTTCATGGTCTCTTCCTTTCTGTTGAAATTGTCCACATGCTTGTGGATTTCAATGGCTTCTCTGTGTAGTCTGACATGGTGGTTGTTGGTGTGGTCCAGCATTTCTGTGTTCTCAAATAATATGCTGTGTCCAGGCTGGTTCATCAGGTGCTCTGCTATGGCTGACTTCTCCGGTTGAAGTAGTCTGCAGTGCCTTTCATGTTCCTTGATCGTGTCTGGGCGCTGCGTTTGGTGGTCCCTATGTAGACTTGTCCACAGCTGCATGGTATACGGTAGACTCCTGCAGAGGTGAGAGGATCCCTCTTGTCCTTTGCTGAACGTAGCATTTGTTGGATTTTCTTGGTGGGTTTGTAGATTGTTTGTATGTTGTGTTTCCTCATCAGCTTCCCTATGCGGTCAGTGGTTCCCTTGATGTATGGCAGGAACACTTTTCCTCTGGGTGGATCTTCATCTTTACTCTCGTGGCTTGTTCTTGGTCTTGCAGCTCTTCTGATGTCTGAGGTGGAGTATCCATTGGCCTGGAGAGCCCAGTTGAGGTGGTTCAGTTCATCTTGGAGGAGGTGGGGTTCGCAGATTCTTTTTGCATGGTCTGCCAAGGCTTTAATGGTGCTTCTTTTTTGACTTGGGTGATGGTTGGAGTTTTTATGTAGATATCTATCTGTGTGTGTGGGTTTTCTGTAACGGTGTGACCCAATTGTTGATCTGGTTTGCGGATGACTAGGACATCTAGAAAAGGCAGTCTTCCTTCATTTTCTTTTTCCATGGTGAACTGGATGTTTGGGTGGATGCTGTTCAGATGGTCCAGGAACCTGTTGAGTTCTTCTTCTCCATGGCTCCAAATGGTGAAGGTGTCATCCACATCTCTGAACCATATCGTGGGCTTTTTGGTTGCTGTCTCCAGGGCTTGTTCTTCAAAGTGTTCCATGTAGAAGTTAGCTATGACCGGGCTGAGAGGGCTCCCCATAGCTACTCCATCTTTCTGTTCGTAGAATTCATTGTCCCACTGAAAGTAACTGGTGGTGAGGCAATGGTGAAACAGAGCCGTGATGTCTTCTGGGAACCTCTGGTTGATGAGTGCCATGGTGTCTGCTACCGGGACCATGGTAAATAGAGATACCACATCGAAGCTGATCAGTTTGTCGTTGGTTTTAGCTTGAGATTGCTGATTTTTTCTATGAAGTGGGCTGAGTCCTTGATGTAGTGTGTAGATGCAGGCGAAACGTCAGGAGAAATGCCTCTAGAACATGGCTCTATAGCCCGAAAAAACCCACAAGAACCTAGTGATTCCAGCCATGAAAGCCTTCGACAATACATTGAACAACAACAATACTTAGAGACCAAGTGCTTTGGAAAGGGGTAAGAAAAGACTGTGTTGCTGACTCCAAGAGGGAAAAAAATATGTTACCTTTCTGTTTCTTCTTTGACAGTGGCAAACTGGGAGGGCTGGCGGTTGGGCCGGCTCTGCTCCTGCCCCTTCTCCCCGCTGCCGCCGCCACCGCCACCACCACCACCTTCCAGCTCTTGCTCGAGGGAGGAGCTGGTGCTGCCTTCGCGGCTGACATTGCTGCTGCGCCCGGGGCTGTTCTCGGTGGAGGCTCGGGGCGACTCGGTGTTCTGCTTCAGGGTCTGGAGCTTGGCCAGCGGGATGATGTCGCAGTTCTGGGGCCGGTGCCACACCGTCCGCTGGGTGGTGGCATTGTAGTAGTAGAAGCGGGAGGTGTTGGGGTCAAAGAGCTCCCACCACTGGTTCTCGTTGGTGCGCTTGATGCGGACGCCTGGCGGAGGGTCCCAGACGCACTCCCCCGTGATGAGGTTGGCGTACATGCGCTCCCGCGTGCGAGGCTCGATGATTTCCACCCATTCTAGCCTGAAGAAAAAAGCATAGAGAGAAAGGATGAGGAAATGATATTTGCCACTGATGAACATGTATTTTTTCCAGGTGAGCATGGCTAAAAAGGTTTGGCTCCTCGTTCCGTTCAAAAAGAGGGGACCTTCATTGTCAGGGGGTCTATAAGGTCATAAAACTCCTGCTCTTTCAGAAGTGACTATTAGTTCCAGTTAAGGAACCAGGTATCCAAAACACAGGGCCCTTCCACACAACCCTATATCCCAGAATATCAAGGCAGAAAATCCCACATGATCTGAGTATGGACTCAGATAATCCAGTTGTGGGATTTCCTGGCTTGATATTCTGGGATATAGGGCTGTGTAGAAGGGCCCACAGTTGTAGGCAGAGACTTTTTTCTTTCCCAAATAAGCAGAAAATGTTTTCTTTCTCCTTTGTTGCTGCAGTAAATACAAATTATGCAAACTTTACAACTTCTTCCCCACTATTCACAGCAGCAATTCTCCCACACACTCTCCAAACCACCATCCATCCCTCAAAACTCTCATCAACCTTCATCAAACTTACTCAATATAACTACAACTGGGTTGTTGTAGGTTTTTTTGGGCTATATGGCCATGTTCTAGAGGCATTTCTCCTGACGTTTCGCCTGCATCTAACCAACATGGACACAACAAGAAAAGAGATTCCATCTGAACATAAGGAAGAACTTCCTGACTGTGAGAGCCGTTTAGCAGTGGAACTCTCTGCCCCAGAGTGTGGTGGAGGCTCCTTCTTTGGAAGCTTTTAAACAGAGGCTGGATGGCCATCTGTCAAGGGTACTTTGAAAGCAATATTGCTGCTTCTTGGCAGAATGGGGTTGGACTGGATGACCCATGAGGTCTCTTCCAACTCTTTTGATTCTATGATTCTATTATTTGAGAACACAGAAATGCTGGATCACCAACAACCACCATGTCAGACTACACAGAGAAGCCATTGAAATCCACGAGCATGTGGACAATTTCAACAAAAAGGAAGAACCCATGAAAATGAACACAAAAAAAAACTCTAAAATTACAACAGCACAACAACAGAGAGGAAACAAACAAGGACATCTAATCACCTCGCAACAAGTTTGCTCCAGGCACTGTCAGGCCATTATATGCTAATCAAGGTGGTCAGCTGAAACATTCACACCTAGCTCCAGCAGACAAGAGTCCTTTGTCCCACACTGGTCATTGCACAGATATATAAACCCTTTTCCCTAGTTCCAACAGACCTCACTACCTCTGAGGATGCTTGCCATAGATGCAGGCAAAATGTCAGGAGAGAATGCCTCTAGAACATGGCCATATAGCCCGAAAAAACCTACAACGCAGTGATTCCGGCCATGAGAGCCTTCGACAATACAAAAGCTACACCGTTTTTCCTCCAACACTGAGATCTAAGCCTGTCCCATATTTTCCAATTCAAGTGAAGGAGAACCTAGATTCACCAAGTAAGGGTTGGAGCTGGTACAACTTTACAAAAGGCACACGTAGAGTTAGCCTGTGTAATGACCAATTATGACTAGCCTACTTTGGATATTTCTTCCTGCTTTTCTCCATAAAGAAATGGAAACCGATGCCACAAAAAGGGCCTTTAACATAATCACCCCCCGAAGTTCAGGAAATCGCGGAAGACACATTTAAACTCAAGTGAACACAAACCACGCCTAACATTCGAAAGTGCATTATGCAAGTCAGAATGCCGCATCACTCCACTGCTAAACAGAAGCAAAAAATAAAAATATTTTTTCTAAAAGCAGGCTTCTTCCGGAGCAGCTGTTCTGCAGATGGGCAGCGAAGATGCAAAGGGCCCTTCAAAAGACTCAAATGAGAAGTGGGCGAGGAAAGGAGGAAGGATCCTGCCTTACGGTTCTGGCAACATCTGGTCACCAAAGTCCTGGAGACTAGAAAAGATCACAAGCAAATGTATTCTGGGGAAATATGGCCCTCTTATGTCCACCGCACATGCCTGCCCCATGTTTGGATCCTTGCTACTCCTTCTTTTCCGTCCTTCCCTTTCCCTTCTGTTCCTTCCCTTTGTGACTGTATTTTGAAAGAGTCAATTAAGACATTAAACACAGAGACAGGATGCAAATCCTTGACTTTTTCATCCTTGCATATGGAGACCATTCATTACGGCCATTCTCTCCTTGCCGCAGGAGAATATTGCCGTGAACACCCCACGGCAATATTCTTCCCACATTAGAACGCCCTGAAGTGTTGCGGAGGGATTATTCTGGGTAGGAAAAAGTGTTTTGTGTGGGAGAAATGTTTTTGTACACACATAAAAGGGATTCTTATTCGGAAAATAGTTTATTTGTGCAAGAAACCACTTTCTGCACAGAAAATTAATAGCTGTATAAAACCTCTGTATTTTTCCCCTATGCACAGCTGGCATAGACACTGAGCACTGGGAAGCCCTGGTCCTTGAGCGCTCCAGTTGGAGGTCAGCTGTGACCAGCAGTGCTGTAGAATTTGAAGAGGCATGAATGGAGGGCGAAAGAGAGAAACGTGCCAAGAGAAAGGCGCATCAAGCCAACCCCGACCGGGACCATCTTCTATTATTATTATTATTATTATTATTATTATTATTACTTTATTTGTACCCCGCTAGCATCTCTCGAAGGACTCGATGCGGCTTACATAGACCAAGGCCTCAAAACACAACACAACAATACAATACCTAAAGCAAATTAAAAACAGTTAAGCAGAATAAACATCAAACAATAAACAATACATCAAGACACTATAAAACTGGGCCGGGCCAGAGTAATGGGTACAAGATTAAAAGTGCTGATGTGGCAGGAGGTGTGTAGGATTATAAGTAAGTGCAGTGTGCGGTGTGCAGCAATCTTAGTTCTACTAAAGTGCTTCTAGGACTTGGTATTGGAGATTCCTAATCTGAGAAGGCACATCGGAACAGCCAGGTCTTCAAGTTCTTTCTGAAGACTGCCAGTGTAGGGGCCTGTCTAAGATCTTTTGGGAGGGCGTTCCAGAGTGGGGGGGCCACCACAGAAAAGGCCCTGTCTCGAGTCCCCACCAAGTGCGTTTGCGACGCAGGCGGGATCACGAGCAGGGCCTCTCCAGATGACCGAAGTGAATGCGTGGGTTCGTAGACAGAGATGCGGTCACGCAGGTAGGGTGGTCCCAAACCGTTCAGGGCTTTGTAGGTAAGCACCTGCACCTTAAATTGAGAAGATGCAGATCAAGAATAGGGCTGCACAGTCACCTAGGGACCCACCGCACACTGCGCACTGACCCTGGAGGACTATCTTACCCGGACAACAAGGGATCGCCTAAGTAAGTAAGTGCACAGCTGGTTAATTACCAGCAGCAATAGATCACACCAATTGAAAGGTTGGCAGTGAGCACCCGACCTTTGGCCCAGCTCACTGTCCACCTAAGCCAATAGTTCTCAACCTGTGGGTCCCCAGATGTTTTGGCCTACAACTCCCAGAAATCCCAGCCAGTTTACCAGATGTTAGAATTTTTGGAAGTTGAAGGCCAAAATATCTGTGGACCCACCAGTTGAGAACAACTGACCTATGCAGTTCAAAAAACAGCTGTGAACTGTGAGTAAAGAAAGTAAAGAAATTGGGTACCGCTTAAGCAGGGAAGTACTTTACAGCACCATAAAAAGGTCTCTTCGTGGAGATAGAGCAGAATATACATATATATATAGAGAGAGAGAGAGAGATAATTAATAATTATTTTTATTACTACTATTATTATTATTATTACTATTAGGTACCAGAAAATGCCAGCAATCAAAGAAAGGGGGAAATCTATTATCAAGGACTCTTTGCCATTGAGGATGAAGCAACAGCACCCCCCGTGGCTGGAATTGAGCACAACCTCCAGGACGCCAAAGTTGGGAAAAGTGCCGACATATAACTCTATCTGTTTTCTGTCCTGTCTGTTTAACGGCACTGAATGTTTGTGGTGTATGTGTTCTGTGATCCGCCCTGAGTCCCCTTCGGGGTGAGAAGGGTGGAATATAAATGCTGTAAATACATAATAATGTAGGAAAATTCCTTCACAACATTTGAGGACATCAAGTGAGCAAATTGCGCATATCTCCCATTGTTTTGTTATTATTCCATAAGGATTTCCAGGATGACAGAACCATGCGTTTCAAGCTGGGAGTTCATATAGTTGGCACTTTACATTAGAGGAATTTACTTTTTTGAGGATTTGTTTATTCACAAGTGTGAGTAAAGAATTCTCTCCAGGAATGTCTAGGTCCTCCGGTATGACCGCCACTAAAAACTGATCACAGATTCCTAGAGAGGTGTCCTCTCTGATAAATATTTGTGTCTTTTCACTTGTGCCCAAAAACTTAAAAATAAAAGCACAGTGTGGCAAATACCGGCACATTTACTATATCTGAGCTGGAAGGTAGCAGATCCTATAAACTGTATTATTTTCAAAGATGAGATCACTCATCATCCTGTGCAGTATCTTAATGGGGTTTGGTTCCAGGACTCTCTGCTGAACCCAAAACCCATGGATGCTCAAGTCCTATTATATATAATGACATACTAAAATAGTGCCCCTTACATAAAACACAGCAAACATTCAATGCCGGGACACAAATTCACATACAATACATAAACATTGAAAAAGCATTTATCAAAATATTAAAATACACCATTTAAAACTCTCCTAGTCATCCACATCAAATCTAATTGGCCTGGTCATCTTTCCTATTGCCACTTTACTGCCCTGTCCCGTAAGCTTGGTCCCACAGCCAAGTTTTTACCATCTTTCTAAAGGACAGGAGGGAGGGGGCCAACCTGATCTCACTAGGAAGGGAGTTTCATAGCTAGGGAGCAATCACCGAGAAGGCCCTGCCCATCGTCCCCACAAATTGTGCCTGTGGCAATGGCAGGACGGAAAGCAGGGCCTCCCCGAAGGATCTTAATCTCCGCAATGGTTCATAGGGGGAGATGCGTTCGGACAGGAAATTTGAGCCAGGGCCGTTTAGGGCTT